TGATTTACCTTTGTAATACAAATCAAAGTGCAAACAGAGACAGATTAAGCTTATTTTCCCCAGGACAAAATTTACAAGCTGTAGGGCAGAGAAAGCTTGGCTTCCTGCTTTTATTTCCCTGCCTTCTGCCAACCCAGATGGGTTCTCAGTCATCTGGCAAAAATTGAGGGAAACCACACCTCTGAGCAACTTCACAGCAGAGATTCCATCACATGAAACACTTAAACAGCTGCCAAAGCCAAATCCACTGAAGGAATGCATCTTTTTCCCTCCCTTACTGATTTGCAATTCTGCTCTATAGTTGGAGCCCACTATACTCTTACAGTCACACCACAGAAGTCCTGCAATTTTGTCCTTCAGCTATCTTTCACCATGCTCAAAATACCCTCTCTGTTTTAGCAACACAAATGGCATTTGTTTGATGTTCTGAACGTATCATCTGGAGCATCATAATCTTATTGATAAAAACGATCACAGTAATATGCTTTGCTAATGGGCAACTTGGTTGAAACATTTGTATCTCACCTTTGACAGAAGCAATTTCACACAGGAAACGTGGCCCTCATAAACTGCTGATAGGAGTGGTGTGATATTGTGTTTGTCTGGAGCCTGTAAATTGAAATACAATTATTTGAAGGACAATTTCACACAGCATTATAAGGTTTCACAGAACTTTTCAATTTTCTATAATCAATAGTAGAGGAAGCAAAAACTTAAGAATATTAGCCAGAAATGCATTGCACTGCATTTTTATCTCTCTTTTTTAGAAAATAAAAGTTACCATTTAAAAAAGAGGTAATAGCAAGATATTTCTTCCACAAGACTTCTAGGTATCCCAAAGCTTGTCCATAATTTTAGGCAGATGATAGAAATCATGCTGTTTCAGCTGACAAATTTTGCCCTATTTAAAACTCCTAATTTTCCTATTTCACAGCCAACATCACTTTGGCTGAAACATTATTTTATCTGTCTTCTCTCTAAACTACAGTCCTGAGAAGAACAAAAATGGAGCATCTGAAATGCTATTTTAAACTCTTCCCCAGCTAGAAAAATTCCCAAGGAAGAGATAATCTTTCCAGACACCCAGGAGAAAAATCCAAGCATTTTTGTTATGAACTAAAGCTAAGATGTTTTACATGTTAACTTTTGGGCAAGCATTCCAAGGCATAACATTTGGGGCATATGGTTAAAGTATTTAGGAACTTAACTTCCAGAGAGCTGATATAGCTTAGTTAAGTCATTTCAAAACAAGAAGCCATGCATGTCAAGCTACAGCAAAATGACTTAAACAAGAAAGAATGTCTTCAAAGAAGAAAAAAGCACACTAATTTAAACAGCTGATTCTGCCCTGGCTAAGGATGCCTTCTGAAACCCCTTCCAACAAATGCAAAGACACATTGCAAACCTTATTCTGATGTGATTAATGGAATCATTTTTCTAATTGCGCTAAAATTAAATTTCAATTTTTTTACAGCTACTAACAACTTTTTCCAGTGTGTCCAAAGAGACACTTAAAACATTTAATAAACATAATTGTAAGCTTCTAACCTCTAGAATCCTACCTCTCAAGTATTTTTAAATGCATTGAATTGTTAGGTTTGATTTATGTCTTTCAGCGACCATTTAGGCATTTACACCAATCCCTTCAGTGTGTGTGGGAAGACTTTAAGACCTGTTTGCAAATACATTTATACATACATTAATGTCAGCTCCTTTCAAGAGCAGAAATTCCAGAATCTCAAGCTGGCCACAGTCTGCTGCATAGTGAAGAGGCTTCCGTCCACCTTCAAGTGTCCGGTTGACATCTTCACCCTTCGATACAAACATAATCCAATCAGCAAAATTTTAGAGCTAGCACACGACAAAGAGCTTGAAAGAAATCCAACACCTTCAAACATGCTGAAGAACGTTCCACCCTAATATTTCAGTCACTGTCCAAGAAAAATGAAAATTAAGTCGCTCAATTTCTATTCCCTCACATCTGCATTTTATGACTGTAAGACAACCTTGATCCCTTGCTCCATACTGCACCTGAGGTGCAACAAGTACCAAGCGCACTAGGTAACTCATGATTTAAAAAAAATCCAAACCAAACCAATAACAAAAATCATTAGAGCTTGTACAAAATACTCCCCTAGGCTCATTTTGCTTCTCTTGCCCCACAGCTAGGATCATAGTTATCTGGCTAAGTTCCTTTATCTACTTCTAAGAATACTAAAGTTTTGCTTAATGACAAACCAGCTGCATAGAAGTAATTCAGCATCGTAACTACCAGCAAGTGAGTCCGGGCCATCCATAATTTACAACCCAATTATGAAACTGTCCACCCTGTTTTATAAATAGCACTTGCCAATTCTACACGATATAAACAAGCCTGAAGAGTCAACCAAATCAGGCCACAGGAAGTTGTACTCTAATGCCCCTTGTACAAATGGACTGAGACATCTCTTAAGACGTAAACAAAATTTAATTTACTGAGTACCTAATCAGCTTTGTTTCCTCACCTTGGGTTGTGCAACTAAGGATAAACTGATTTACTGCCTTTCATTAGTAACAAGTTACTGGAAACAAGCTGTGTGGTAAGTGGCTTCGTGTTCCTATGTGCAAGGAATCTCAGTATTTTAGGAAGTGGCTAAATTTAGCATCATACCTCAAGGCCTGTATCTCCACAGAGAAACAAGCAAAAAAATTTCAGCTGCAGCACCAATTCATACTTCTCTATAGAGCCCCTGCAGTTCCCTCACTCCTGTCCCAAAGTTCTAGAAAGTGCACAGAATAGAGTGATTGACATATATCTTCCAGACATTACTTCCTTTCTAAGAATGGAAGAGAAGATTGCCAGAAGGAAATCTTACTCTGCTTTCGATGTTCTATATAATCAGAGTTTTACACTACTAGTCAAGTATCAAGACGACCTCGCTATTCTTCTCTCTTCTCTTCTCAACAATTCAATTACTCATCATACACCCTTGTAGCAGACAGCATTGTGATGTAGTTTCTTATTTGCTGAATTTCATTGACAATTAAATTCAAATTTTAAAAAAATCACCCAGATCAAAGTATGCTAATAGCACATAAATAGTCTGGGAAAGCATATAAAGAAGCAGAATACACTTATGTTGAACATTAAACTCTACACATACTTTTATTTGTACATGGACTCTTCCCATCAATTTTAAAACAACTGGCATTTAACCCATCATGTCTGCTGATACATTAGGGATTGGGTACACAAGTTTGAGAAGCCAACCACATGAAAGCCACATAATAACCAACACAAAACAGTCTCCAGAAGTATGACACATGCCATGACATGGTAAGTAAAGGAGCACGGGAGAATGGCAGGCAGGCTAAGTCCTGGAACAGCACACAGTCAAGTCACAAAGTTCACAGCCAAAGGAAAGCTAGAGTCATCACTTCTCAAGATGAGGACAGTCCAGAAAAGCTCCCACTTCCTTAAGATTATAAATATTATTTGACTCATTGGCTTATATGATAGCAATTTTTCTTTGTTTTTAAAGAATAAAACAAAGGTCTCTGTTCTCTCCTAAGCCGGCTGTGGAACAAATTCCTAGTGGATTATGAACTTTCAGAGGGGAAAAAAACCCCACCCAAACTCCTATTTTTTTAAGATCCCCATAAAGATGATGAAAACTTATTTACAGGGGAGTACCTAGCAAAAGGTCTGCAAATAAAGATGTCCCAAACAAAGACTGCATGGTATTGAATACTGGCACTGAGAACACATATTATTAACATTCAAAGTTAAACATCAAAACATTTTAGTCTGAATTAACAGAACAAAGACATCACGTAAGTTACAAAAATTTTTAAAAAATGACAAAAAACAAGTACTCCTATATTCTGCAATAAAGCAAGTCAAATATCCACTTGTTTCATAGGTATGAAAAGCCACTGTAAAACAGACCATTAAATGTTGTAAAGCTTTACCTGGTCTTTCTTACTGCCAGTTCAAGAAATATAGGAGTAGGAAGGAAAGATAAACCAACGCATTTAATATACAGGGATCAAACTCTGGCAAAACCACTTGTTTCAAATGCAGTCACTAATATATATACACTAAAAAACTTGCAGGACTCTTCACAGATAATTTCTCTCTGGGCTTTAGCTCTTCTATTTATATTGCCTAGGACATCTCTCTGTAGGAAAAGCAGTGGTTTCCAAAGCAAGGTGTGGAAACCCAGAGAGGTGTGCAAGACAAGCCACTGGGGTGCGCGAGAAGAAAATATGTATCGCACAATTAATAAAATGGAAAAATAGCATTTATTGCATCTTTAGTTCATCTTTAATTACCATTTTTGGGGTATATTTTATAATGTGCATGTTACACAGTACAGGAGTACATACTGAAGTTGCCTTAAATATCAAGTCCCAATACCCCTGCTCAGGGCCAGGCTGGATAGGGTTTTGAGCAACCTGGCCTAATGGAAGGTGCCCCTATTCATGCAAGGAGGTTGGAACTAAATCTTTAAGCATAAGATAAAGACTTGAGCCCCAGCCTCATAAATGGGACAGCTCTGGCTAAGGTGTGGCTAATTATGCCAACACAAGGAGACAAAGTGGTCTCTCAAGCCCTGTCACAGGCTGGTTCAGGAAAGAGCACACAAGTAAAGACACAAAAAAACGTTACCTCTGCATAAAGTTTTCCAAATATACTGTGGTTTTGAGTAATACTGGTCAAACATGCCAAAATAAATGTTATGAATTTGGGTATCAGTAATCTTATGAGGTGATGATTCTCAATACAGAACTCTGAGACAGCAAAGTAACCAATATATTGGTGGGTTGAAACTAAGCTGCTGAAGGTTGACATTAAAAATCACCATCCCCTGCAGAGGCACATGGTCAGAATCCACATGAACTGACAAAATGGAGCACAGTTCTTCCTTTACACACACAGGAGTAAAATCTTCTGTGCACTAGACCAAAGGTGACAGCATGATTCTTCAAGGAAGTTTTATGGGACTTCTGCCATCTTCTAGAATCTAACAGAGCAGGAAGGAGGTTAACTTGTGTATTTGGAGAAGACACAATTAAGCCAAGATCAAGGAATAGTATCACCCTCAAAATAAAACAAAGCTTCAGTCATAGGTCATGCTTCTCCTGAAAGATTATTTATTTTCACTTTCTAGAGTAGACCCACAAATCCACTAACAATGATGCAAATATATGTGCACAGCTCCAAAAAGTAATTTGCCCATGCAAAAGAAAAGACATAACCACCTCTTTAATGACCTTCCAGAATACATTGAGTTTACTCAGTCAGCCATTTAAGGCTAAGTCTGGCTTAAATCACATCAGTAACATTTTTCTTTTCAGATCAAAGGCCCAGGGCACCAGCCATGCAGTAACATTAAAAACCCGTTCAGGCCATGAAACATCAGAAACAGCAGTTCCAAGGTATCTGCTTTAATCCTCTCTATTAAAATCTGATTATGGGTAAAGAAAAGCCTCTGTGAATCTCCAATTACTAAACAAGACGACATAAAAGAAGACTGTTATACCCTATTTCAACTAAAATGGCTAGCAGAAGAACATTCAATTAGGTCTTTAAGTATCAATGTCAGTTGAAACATGGCTATCAACTTTTTACTGAAGGACAGGAAAACAAAAACTGGAAACTCACTTCCAAGTACCTTTAAGAACTTTGCTTTTTAAGTAACTAAAAGTAGGATTCATTAGAGCATCCTATGAATGCAACTATCACCCACTAGATGCAATTGGAGCAATTTAATGTATAAAAAGATCTGTTCTAACTAATTTCTTAAGTGAATACTGTCAAAAGAAGTTACTCTTGAACTTAATTCTTTCATTACCCTCTCTCTCACACATTTTCCTTGCTTTACCTTCTCTTGCCAATATACCTACACAAAACCCCTTGTTATATCTCATATCCTTTTCCAGCTTAGCTCTAGTCAAGGCTTTGGGTTTTTTAGTTTCATCCCTGCACACCCTGGGAAAATGCCTATGTTCTCCTTGGGTACCCACCCCCAATTCCACTTTTTATGCTCCCCCTCTTTTTTTCCCAAGCTTAGAGAGTAGGCCCTGACAACCAAGCCCTCCTGTACACCTGGATGGATGTCCCAGAGTAATCTGGAAGGATCTGTATCTTAACAGCTACCCTGAATAAGTTGTGCCAAATTTAATTCCTTTTTCTTTTCCTTGTTAAAAGAATGAACCAGAGTTTGCTGGCTTTGTCCCTAATGCATGCTATGACATCAGCTCCATGAAAATGTTGGATGAACAAGTTTAGTCATAAAGTACAAGTTCTAAAGCTCATTATATTCCACGGAGATTATTTAACCACATCAAACTGAATCCATCCTTCAACAGCCCCTGCCTTTCTGTAGCCTTTATTACACAAGGCTGTATTCCATGCCTGCCTTGGTCTCCCTTTATCTGCTAACTCCCTCTTTTCCCAGCTCCTGTCAGTTTCAGAACATCAACACTTAGAGCCAAATGAGCTAAACTCAAGTTTAACCTCATTCTAGCACCCCTACAGCACACTCCAGGTGCTTCAAGCACAGGCTTATTTTGCAGTGGCTCAGGAACTGAAACCAAACCTGAGCCAGGTGTTCACATGAACACTGTGGTTTGTCAGAAGGGTTATTATCGAACATTACTGCCAGACTACAAATTTCACGGCGTACTCTTCACTTTAGCACCAACTTTTCTCCTGTGTGGCAGCAACAACTTTGCTACTTCCAGCCAAAGTTTGACCCTTTCCACCCCTGTACCAGAATTAGAGGCTGAATGATGAATCCAGTGAAGGAACTAATCTGTGTGAGAATTTATTTGACCATTCCTTTCATCTGTTGCATAACTTAGCACCTGAACACACCAGCAATTAGTAGCTGGGATTTACACTGCAGTTCTACCACAGGAATAGAAACTGACAATTGTGGCTTCATTAAACCCTACTGCATAGGTTAACTGTATTAGTAGAGCAGTGCTTGTAGTACTTGTGGCATTAAAATGCTCTTTCAGATTTAGAAGCAACTCCATATCCCCATCCGTACTTATCCTGTCATGCAAAAATAACCGCATTTCCCCTTTCCATGTGTTCCTTTCTTTTCAGTTTTAATGAAGGAAGATTCCATGTAGTGATCTCTTTAGAGTGCAGGGAAGAGTTTCAGGAGCTACTGTGCAATTCCTGTCTTCATTACTCTAGGAAAAAAAATAACTCACTGTACTGTCTGTTGCATTACTTCCATCTCTTTGCATACAAGGGATAGCCACCCTTACAGTGTATTAGATAACTTTGACATTTTACATATAGCAACAACTTAATCATTGCTGTCTCAGTGGGAAAGAGCAAAAATCCTCTTTCTATAGAGAAAAGTTTAAGTCCCATGGACGAGATATTTTTACTATTTTGCTGCACATTGAAAATACTGCTTCCAAAAACTTCATATTTACTATTTTCCCCTTTGTTTATGCTGGTTGTATCATTTGTTTTTAAACATTCAAAGAGATTATCAAGACATGTTTTACTATAACAGAAATTATACTGGTATCCACTGAATGAAATCCTTCCCTCCAATGTAACTAAGTTTTAGTTTTTAAAACAAACTAAGTGCCTGAAATAGTAAGTTCTATGTTTTGAAGTGGAACATATATAAACTGAGATCACTTAAGAACTATATATTCCCTAGTCTTCTGAAAGAAGAGCAAGCTTGGATAAATCACACCTGTAGAAAAAATTATTATCCATATACCCAAACAGTTTAGAAAACAATCTTGCACTTCCACAGTGGTTATGTGGGGGGTATGGATGAACTGATTATGTCTTAATCTTCCCCAAACACTGTTTCATTTTCTCAGAATGAGTCTGCTCACACCCTTTCCATCATTTTCCACTATAACTTTCTCCAGTTTCATTCATCACCTGGAAAGAATTAAAAAAAACAAAAAAAAAAAACAAAAAAAAAACCACAAGCCCACTCCCCCAGGGCTCAAAAATCCACAAATACCATGTAAGTATTCTAAAGATGAAAATACATTAGTTATTTTTGCCATTCTACTTAAATTCTCAAAATCGTTGAATTTTAAGTACTTAAGCCAATATACATTACTGCTTAGTCTGCGTTTGTTTCAGTTGTTTGTTCATAGAGTTTAAGTGTTTACTGGGACCACATGTCATCTAATCAAAAGTTACCTCTCTAGCTCTGAAGATGTAAATACCTTGACTGACAAGCTCTAAAAACAATACAGCAGAAACAACTGAAAAAAACCCCACCCATTTTGTACACACAAGGTCAATCATTCTAAAAACTATGAACTTAAAAATATTGTAAGTCAAGCACAAACTTCAGTCCTTACTCAAACAGTAAAAACAAGCTGATGTTTTTTATATAGCTAATCCATAAACACTGGGTCATAAACACTGGTGGCAATGAGGAAAAATTCAAATACCATACTTCATGAAATCTGACTAATAATCTAAAAATATAAGGAGAGTTTAATTCTACAAGCTTGTCAGTCTAGTGACTCATAACATTACAGGCTATTTAAGGCTGAAAGGCAACTCTAGAGGTTATGCAGCCTAACATTTGCGCCAAGTAGGTCCAATGAGACCAGGCTGCTCAGCTGAGTTCCACAGAGCTCCAAGGACTGAGGATTACAAAAGGTCTCCAGGCATAAGCCCTTCCCAGGATGTGATCATCCTCACAGGGAAGTATTTTTGCTCTTACACCCATTCAGAACTTTTTGCATTTCAACTGGAACTGTTGTTTCTTATACTTTCACTATGCACAACTTAGCAAACTTCTCTATATCCTGCCCTTTGTATAGAAAGATAATTATAAAATCTTCCCTTCATCTTCCTAAAAGGAAAAAACCCTCCAAAAAACAAACAAAACCCAAAAAATCAAGCTACCACAATTCTAACAGCATCAACTTGTACATCCTTCACCTACCAATAAAAATAGAGGCAAAAAAGCTTTTATATTCTTTTCAATAGGCCTTTGCTTCATAAAGCAGTTGGTACAGATCTTCCTATGCCTTCCAGATTCCTAACTGTGGAGACCTTGAAAAGCACTCCCAGTTAAAAAGATAGGAGAAGCCTCAGTTATCTCCTTTTGATAACAAATCCTGTTCTACCAGGTCAAGACAACCCTTGTTCTGTTCCTTGGGGACAGCCCCCTGCCCTCTCTCTGTCTGTCAGCCTTTTAGTCACTCCCACCATGGTTCCCTGTTGGCCTCTACACTCTAACCACACTCTTTTAAAACTCCCATGTATTTAACACAAAGCCCCAGACCATTGCCTTTGCCTCTGAATTCCGGGACTGTGCACACGCGTGGCTGAAATAAACATCTCTGTGAAACCTTCGGAAAGGCCATTCCTGTTTCACCTCAACAAGAACGCCAACCACAACACCTAACTACAACTGAACTCGAGCTGTCATACCTCCTCCATCTCTGCATATTTGGACAAGGTTTCTAGATTCCTTCCAGTGGACCATTTTGCTTTCTCAGTAACTCTGAGTATTATAGATTCCTCAAAATATGTGACATGGGATGCAGGCTGCAGCATTGAAAAACACTCAGCATTTCTCCTGCTCTCACGTAAAAGAGTTCCAGGTTCTAAAGAAAGGCCCCTGAAGGATCTTGAGCTTCTTCACTTCAGAGAGGCTGCAGTAACATTTTATTTGTAATCAAACACACAAGTACAGCTAAGCACAGGTACAGTCTGGGGAGAGACTGGATCAAGACCTGCCCTGGGGAGAAGGACTTGGGGATGTTGGTGGATGAGAAGCTTCAGTATGTCTCAGCAAAGAGTGCTTGCAGCCCTGAGAGCCAAATGTACCATGGAATGGACCTAAAGCCATGGGGTCAGCAGGTCAATTCTACCCCTCTTCACTCATCTGGATTGCTGTGTTCAGCTCTGGGAAACATTTAGATAAGATATTAGGACAAAATGGACAAAATTCTTTACTGAGAGGGTGGTGAGGCATCAGAGCAGTTTGCCCAGAGAGGCTGTGGATGCCCCATCCCTGTTAATTTTCAGGGCCAGGGAGACTGGAGCTCTGAGCAACCTGGAATAGCAGAAGGTGTCTGTGTCCACAGCAGGGAGGTTGGAACTAAATTATGTTTTAAGTTCTTTTCAACCCAAACCATTCTATGATTCCATGAAATAGCACAAAAAAGGGCAATCTGATCTTTCATCATAGAAAAAGAACTTTATATAGCTTTCCTCCTCTGAATTCTTCTTTCACAAATCAGTTGTTCAAACACAGAACTGGAAGCTCAAATACTCTGTTTTTCCATTAACTTTGAAGACTTGAGAAGAACTAAAATTGAGTATTATGAGTTCAAACACAAAAAGCCAACACAGTAGGCTGAGTTTTACTAATGAAAACTCAACTGCTACTACCCCAGTTTTCTGACTATTGGAATTGTATCACTATTGAAACAATCCTTGGGCTTATGTGCAGGAGTACTAGATTTCCCATATGACCTGAACAAGAGGGCTTTCCTACTCCTCAGTCTGCCTCTGGAGTGGTTCTGTATGGATGCCACTCTGTAAACTCTTGTTCTCATCTAAAGCAGTGATTAATGCACTGCCAACCTTAACTGCAAACTGGAATGAAACATACCCACAAACCCAAGATATGAATTTTTATAAAATATGTTGAAGAAATCTAACAGCATTGTAGGACACCAGGTCCTAACAACTCAGCTTGCTATACAAAAGTAGTCACCCCGTCTGCCCTTTAGGCCTTCACTTCAGTAATCCCACAACATTCCATCCGATCTTTTGAGCAGTGCTGTAGTTCAACTTTTGCCCTCACCCCAGGAAGAGTCTCAGGGTCTAAAAAGCAGCACTGGCTTTGATGAGTAGTTTTCATTCTTGCCAAGGCAAACTGATTTAGCTAACCAAAATCCATGCTAGCATTTTCACAGGTCCCTGGAGATTACCAATAGGTAAAGACATTAAGTATGAATTACCAAATCCATATCATGGTGTTTCTAAAAAAATTATTTCTTGTTTTCAAGTGTCAAATTAACTCTAAAAACCTTTGACTAGCAGAGATAATATATTCATTTCTTCTTCCAAGCTGGTTATAAAATTTCCTTTAAATATTTCGTTATGGTAACGGAAATGAGCACCAGCCTGAAGCAGTTTTTGCTGGGTAGAGAGGTTAAATATTTGTGTCTATGACAGGAACTGGCACAGCTTTGCACTGATACAGCAGACAGATCCTAACATCATCTGCCCTAATACAAATCTGAAGGTAATGAAGCCAGCGGTCCAGTATTTTAGCCAAGAAAATAATCTATGTAAGCTTTTGTGTATTTCATCATAACTAGTCCAATGTGCTGTTTTCACATTCCCATCTGTTTTAACTAAGAGCAAGAACAATTCAAATGACCAGCTCAAAACAAGTCAGTGCAAGGTATCATTTAAACATCTGTACATTTTTTTTCCCATAAATGGAAAACACTGTTGACATACGATACCTCAGGGACCGCAGACCAAAGAACTGGGCAGAGCAAATGGAAAAGGTAAATTTCACATTTCCACTCAAGCTGTTTTATTGAAAAAACTACTGAAACAATGCAGGAGGCCTAAGAAGAAGCAACAGTATTTCATAATTTCTGCTCACAAGTCTGAGTCTCAAGTTTTCTTGTCTCTATCTTCTGGTACAAAAGAAAAATGACCATGTTTCACTAACAGTCATTAATATTCAAATTAAGAGCAAGAGCGGAAGCTGGTGAAATAACTAGTAACTCAAAGTCTGGGTTTAGCTCAAAGAGCAGAAAGGGAAGTAAAAAGATTAATGTTGTAAACTGTGAATTGTTTATGATTTTGAAGCAGATTTCTTCAGTTAAAAACCTGCAATAAGATCCTGCCAGAGCCAAGGAAATCAACTCATTGTAACTGCAAGTAGGCAGCTTCCAACAGCAACTGCAAGAATTTTGTGCCAGATTGAAAGTTTCATGTGAATCACCTATATTTTAAAAAATTACTTAGTTTCAGTCCATCCAAAAATATCAGTGTAACCCGGCCTCATTCAGCCTGCACAGAGACAACTGCTGTTGCTGCTTAGTGGTTCAGCATATTCCGACCATTCCAGGAGCTCTCCAACTGCAGCCTGAGTGGACTACAGTTGTTTGCAGACAACTGAAGCAAATGACCTACATTTACTGTGTAGGATAACCACTTTTCACTTGGAGAATTTCAGAAAACTAGAAGTTGGTTGTTTTTTTGTTTAACAGCTGAGAGTGACTGCATTAGCTAAGCCTACCTACCCATTATTTATTTGCTTATCCACACAGGTATTTTCAACTCTTTTGCGTATTTCATTCCCTGTCCTCTAAATTTTATAACTTGAAGCAAAAAGGAATTTTCTCCCAGATGTCTTCTTTCTACCCTGTATGCTTTGGGAAATATATGGGACGAGTTGATTTTACACCTCCCCCTTATCACATCTTACTGAACAAACAGAAATAGCAAAAACATCCACAAGAAATCCTGTAGAGATAGTGATCAAAAACCAAATCCAAATTAACAGATGTTGAGAAGGGAACTTGAATACAGAAAGTTAAATCCCTGCGGAAGAGGGTGCAGGTATGGGTATCAAATTTTCATTATTTTTCTGGATTCACTTCTGGTATTTGCTATTAGTTTAGCCTGCAACATCCAACTGAGCTTCTGTTTTTAAAAATATGAAAAGAAGGCTACTCAAAACATTTCAGCACAACAGACCCTCAAAAGTTTATCAAAAAGGGGTTTCTGTTCTGAGGAGAGCGTGTGTCCCTCCAGCTGGCATTTTGCAGCAAGTTCTACAACCAGAGCAGATAGATGTAGATGTCCATGTAAAAGACGGATATCTACTTTGCAATTCTCTACTTTAGGAAAAGCCTTAATTGCTAATAATAACACCAATATTTGGTTTGTAAAATTTAAGAAAATTAATTATGAACCTGATGATGAATTTTGCCTGTCTTGATATGGTATCTAAAGTAACTCTGCAAAGCTTTTAAAGCACTGCTACAATTATTTTGGCTTAAGCCAACAAAAAGATGCTTAACAAGCATACTTTTCAGGTTTTGGTGGTGGTAAGCAAGTATCTAGCTTATCCACCATAATCAAATGCAATCTGAAGTCCTTTGTCTCAGTCAAACAAATACAATTCCAGAAACAACTGCTAAATAAACTGAACTACTGAGCCATCTGTGCTTCAGTTGTATCAGCATTTTGTGAGACAAACAAACCTGATACGAGTTGTTCTGTAGAAAAGTAATGAACCATTTCCTAGCTACAGCTTCTAGAAGCTCGTGCTACAATCCCAGCTTCAAAGATATGCCAAACACATGTGTTATTGAAAACAGTTGTTCTCTCCTCCCCAAAATCCTTCATCTATGCAAGACTTGAGTGAGAAATAACTCACTCACTAATTGCACTACCAAGGGATGAAACAGGAATGAAGGGCCCAGTTGTGCAGCTTCTCTTAGCTCCTATGAATCTCCATTTACAAGTTTGGTCCAAAACTTCCATTTATAAGTTTGTTTCTTAGTTAGGCAACAGCTCAGAGTAATGGCACCAACTAGTTACAGAACAGACTAAGCTGTTGCAGACAAAGGTATCATTACTGTCTGTTCAGATTTATCTTTAACTGATCAATGTTAGTGCACAAAATATTCTGGATCACGAATTGAAACAGCCAATGATCAGACAGTTTCCAAACTGCCTCTGCTTCGAAAGACTGTTAGAATTCAGAATTAAAGTTAAAATGCTTTAATTATAGCATCAGGACTCACCTGTCAGCCCTGATACAGGGGGCACAAACATTAGTAAAAGCCTTTAACCGTTAATTCTAAAGAAATGCAGATCAATCCAATGACTTAAACCTTAAGTTTACATAAACCTGATGTTCACTATAAAAAGGTGTTAAATACTGCATCTACTGAACACAGTGCAGTGTCCATTTTCATACGCAACACTGAGCTGGCCTGAAAGGGTTGTACTTTTTATTCCAGAAGTGATTGGCCAGATTCCGTGTTTTCCCACTACATTTTCGATTATGTGATTTGGATGATGCCTACTTCTAAGGTTATACTAAGTACAAGATATTCCAGATGACTATCAAACAGGAGCCATCAACCATACATAAACCAGGAATCAGAGCAGTAAATCAGCCTCAATAATTCATGATGAGACTTGAGCAAACTGACAACAG